ATTGTTTGGGAGAATGAACAAATTAGCATCATAAATTTGTTGGGGGTTAATTTCGTCTTCAGACCGGATATGAGATTCTCCATGGTCACATAATTTTTTTGTTAGATGACATAATAGTTTGTAAATCGCTCTCCTGACCCATATCCCCTCTCCCTTTTTTCAGCTTCCATACGTACGTTGTATGTCGAATAACGTTTGGTCCTTTCTCGTTCCGGTTTCTCGTACATGCTGCAATAACACTACATTAGATTATCCAATCGTCGGAACTAATCGTGAAATGGGGTGTATTGGGTGCGCCATGGAGACCTAAACGCATGCACCAATTGTTTTTGGCCCCACAGACGGGAGTGGTGCAGACGAATTCCTACCGATCCCGCTGTGGCAAGCATCCGACAACGAACCCGTCTTGATAGTCGACTTCGAACCCCATACACGGGTCGGAATGCCTTGATCACCCTCACAGTGTGATTTATTTAAGCTGGGTGTGAAACAGTTGTCATTCTTTTCAACATTTGGAGTTTCTAGACATTAGCTGAATGTTTTTCACATAACGAGCATTAGAATAGATCTGTGATTCAAGCTCTCTCTCTATGGTCTTTTGACTATCTACTATGATTTCTCTTGCAATCCTTACAGACTGACTTGTCCCGACGCGACTAATCACGCTGAGTATGAAACCCATCCGCTACCGAATTCGGTCACCTCGGAAACCGTGGATCATTCTGTTCCTTCGGTGTATGCAGATTTGGTTTGGAAACACCTATGTTGTGCTTTGGATTCGGGTAAATTGGATTTGAGCGAACAAATTTTGTCTGGAATACCTGTGCCTTCACTGAGTGACGGATGGTCGAGCCTTACCTCTGCATCTATAACTCATCAAAATTTATCCTCAACTGTAGCTGCACCTTCTGAGGAGGCGTTAAAGTCAGATCGGATACTAGCTCCATCGCAACTACTCACTCCAGCCAGTATCCTGGGTCGGATTTCACATCCGGAACTGGCTCGCAAGTATCTGCGTCAGTTGATCTATCACCACGGAGACTGTGTGAGTGGTCCACTTAAATTTGTTCTCCTAAATTAGTTAATTATTCAGGACCCATTGTGTTTAACAGTTTCTGTAAATATATCCATTAACGCTGCGCTTCCGTAGTTACATATCAAACTGTGGCCTATTTTTGTCGATAGACACATCGGTTAAGAGCAGTGCCTAAAGTCAAAGTTATGGTAAACTGGTAAGGGTCATTAGATTATCATCAGGGTTTTCGTGTGCTCGAGCCCCATCAGGTCTCATTTGTTCTAGTATTAATCTCACAAAATGCATAACTTTCTGGATTTCTCGTCATCAGTAAGCCTGTTTTCCATTGGTTGGTCTTGTGATGCCGTTGTTCTTTCAAGGTCATTAAGAGTTATGTGAGCATGACCGTAGCTTACGCCAGTCTGACAACCACTGACCCATCACGTTTTCCAGTTCCCATGCCGGAGTATCAACTCGGGATGTCTGTCGCACTCATGTTAACGTCCAGTTGGGAGTGTGAAGTCCATAGGGAGTGCAATTCTTTTGTCGCAGTTTTTCTACCTATTTTCGTTAGAATTAACCACGAATTCGATGAAATTTCGTATTTCTGCTATTCATTTATTTGCCGTCTAGATTCTCAGAAATTGTGATGATGGTGCATGTGGAAGCAGAGATGGTCCAAAAAGCTAGGGGGGGGGTGTTGTTGTTCAATCCTTTGTCGCTAGGTGTATCATCGGTGAATCCATAGAGCTATTCCGGTGGCCCCCAGCGAATGTCGTCCACTGCATCACGAGGTACTGTCAAACTTTCATAGTAAACTAAAAAATAGTAACACACATGAGGCATGGCTTGTCTCTTACCGTGTAAGATCGGACGCTACACCTGTGTGACCAAGACCAAGACCAGCCTTTGGGAGAGTTTAAGCCATCATGCTCGATTACCTTACAAATGATGCCCCCTACCATGTTTTTCCCTCACAAGCGGTAACCCATACTCAAGTCGTTTCATGGAATGTGTGGAATTTCTCATTGGTATGGAGACGGCATCTTTCCTGACATACACCGGCGCTGCAGACATCTGATAAAAAATGTTTAATTGTAAATGACATGATTAACATTCTTCTTTAAACGAACAATAATTTTTTCACATAACTTGGAGTTGAACCGCACTCATTCAGCATATCTAACCCATTTTTCTTATCTCAATTAGACAGGCTCTTGCGCACTATCACTTCCAACGTCACGGGTACTTTCTAGATGACCGTTTTCTCCTGGTGTTTTGTTTGGAAGCCTATTGGGTGAGCGAAATTGATGGGCTTCATTTTAAAACTTAGGCAAAACTCCCGGTTCTTGTGTTTTACCGTCCCTAAGACACTCGTTGATTCCGTGGTTCATCTCAATGTGTGTTGGCTGAAACGGTAACTCGTGCATCATTGTCAGCGCTCATTTTGCCGCCACCCTTTCACGGGACATGAAGCTTGTGCTGCACTTGTAGATTTAGGATAAACTGTTTTGTCAGTTCACCTCGTAATCTTATTCCTGCTCCGGAACAGAAGATCCGGTGATTGTCAGAGAGGAACAGACTATCCAGAAAAATTAATCCAGAACTATGTGACTAGCATCATTCTGACCTATGCAATCGACACAGGTGATGAGCTAAATGCCTACATTTGATCTGAAGGAGCAATATACATAATCATCTTCACAACCGGTTTGTCAAGACCTTTCCCGAACCCTAGACTAGACTCAGTGTCACTTTAGGACCTAAGTTGGTTTACCTCATCCGGGCACGGTGATCCACGGTCAATTGTTGCAATGCTACGGATTATCACACAATTTTGTATTGACATATTCAGTTTTACGACAAAAGGGACTGCGGGGAGTGGAAAATTACAGCACTGAGCAAACTACGAGCTTTGACCCATAATGGCGTGTAACAAAAAAGACGTGGGCTTATTTCGTGACGTTCGGATAAAAAGAGAGTGGAGACGATTTAAGATAATACGCCATCTTCAGGTGATGGATGTTTTTTGTCAGAAAGATTGCAGAATGTCTCGGTGTCACCATCATCGTATAGCGAAATACAGTGAGGTGAACTTCACTGATCGCAATGCATACAAGTATTTTGGTAAAATTTAAGGTGAACAGGGATTGGACCTACTTTGAGGGAGGAAGAACGTGAACCACTATGGTCAACACGCAGAGTGCACAATCGAACTCTGCATACATACCGTTTCGAGCATTCTGACCTGATAAGAAACGACAACAAGAACGCCACTGCTACCGGTTCGCTGCCATATCCTTCAGTGTCTCCAACCAATCGGTTGTGAATTCTTCCGGACCCAAACCTGGAAGGCGCGAGACACCTACCGTACCTAACGACTGTGTATTTCTTCATGCCTCGTCTCCACGTCATCTGTTGACCTCCACCTCGTTTTCTCCAACCCGGATTAGCTACAGCGAACAAAACTCCGTGCGGCTGACGATGGCTGGGCATACGCAATACGTGCCCTAGCCACCGAAGTCTACTAATCTGAATTCGGTGTGCTAGCAGGTTTATCCCTGACAAACTTTCAAACACACGACGGCTTACCTCCACGTTACTAACCCGTTTGCTCCACCCCACATGGGCTAAACTACGTCAACACCGATAATCGAAAACCTCTGGTCGACGGATATCTTCTATTCGCAAATTCAGGGTCTCAACCACAAAATAGAACTGAAAGAACGGTGGCACAATATAAACGACCGTTCTCGGTGTGGTCATATCTCTAGTAAACGTTCTGCACAGGTGCATCATCATGATGCCTCACTGTCTACCATTTTATTTCTCGATTTTTCCCTTGTCCGTTGATGCCCCACTCGGCTGACAGGATTCAAATCATCATACCCGATTAGGTGAACTCTATGTGGACCGTATTCGGAATGCCGTCGAGCACAAGGAAACGTCCGATTCGGACAAGGTGAACGGGAGGCAATTGAGGTAAGTTTAACTTTTAACCCACATGTCGGCAGTTTCGCCCTCCCGATCGAGTCACTTTGATGATCTGAGTTATTTCGGAAAATCCACCGCACATGCAAAAAGCATTGGAACAAAGTTTCATTCTAATTGGATTCATCATCTGTCAGGGATTTGAACCACAGATCTATCCCTTGAATGACGCATTCTCTACGATTTCGTTAATCAGCTCACATCTGGTATTGCGAGTATTACTAAGTTAAGTTGGTTCAAATATCATTAGTTTCCAGTCCTTCGATAGACCCGGTCTGTATGGTCGTCTTCGAACTGTGAATTGGTGGTTATATCGATTGTGGCCGGTGAATCAGAACGCTTGCAAAACCAGTAGTTTTAGGTGCTCGGTAGTACACAGGTCTATCGATTGAATCTGAATTTAATCACTATCCGCAAATGCAAAGATTTACCTCCATTCTTGTTCAGCTCGTGTGCTCTGGGGTTTTCTCCCAGATTCCACGAGTTGAGATACAGGAACAAGATAAACATCACCTGTTTGATAGTTCGGTTTTTTTTGAGGACCCACATTCCAGAAACACTTGGAATGCACAAGTTGTTTTCTTCTCCTATTTCTATTATGCTCTTTTACCCAGTAAAGGCAGCTCTGTAGCTCCTTCTTGCCCATGACGCGTCATACTGTGTGTGTGTGTTTATTGCTGATTCTGTTCACTCTCGTGTGTTTTCTTGTCAGACGTGAATTTTGTCACTTTTTGCGCCACTCGGAACACTATTCCGTAGAGCATCTGCTCACACGCATACGCGAGCGCGGTTCACAGAATTTTCCGTTGGAAACGGCTATTCTCTTGGGCAAGGTAAGCCGTCCCGTGCTGTGCGAGTGAATCTATTCACTGCATTCTCGTTGTGCCTGTTTTTTTTTACTCGTGCTGTCTGTGTGAGTGCGTATGTATGTGATGGTGACTTGTGATTGGCTTTAGCTTTTCGATCGTTTTTCATGAACATTTTCTTGAACGCTTTCTGAGACGTCCATCCTTTTCGAAGATAACGCTCTTCCATTGCGATTTGACTGTTTCCCTGTTCCTCCTTTTTCAATCTCTCATGTTCGATCACATTCGGTTTTGCGATCGTTTTTTCACTAATTGTGTCTGCTTGCATACAGAACGCGCAGTTGGCATTTGCCAACTTGAGACACCTTTGGCGCCGTCGCGACATCCAGCTGTCTGTTAAGAGTCGAGTGTATGCTGCGGCAGTTCGGCCAGCTCTACTATATGGAGCAGAAACTTGACCATTAAGAAAACAGGAGAAAGAGAAACTGTCGATGTTTGGATACGGTTGTCTACGCAGCATTGCACGAATCTGGTGGGGCAGCCGGATGAGCAATGCTAAGGCGCAGAGTTTTAGGTAACTGCGGTCGCTCACCGGAGCAAGTGATCGAGCTCCATAGATTACGTTGGCTGGGACATGCGCTACGCATGTCACCAGGTAGATTACCACGCAAGCGATGTTCGC